GCCAGAATTTTGCTGGGTCAAACCACAAAACAAAAGACATTTGTTTTTGTTTTGATAGTGATGGTGTTATGCAGAATTCAGCCAATCATTGAATGCGTTACAGATATAGGTCATGTGCATTAAGTCAATCCAGATAATTATGATTATCCGAGCTGACTTAAGCCTTAATTCACTACACGGCTTTAACGGTCCCCCCCATTTATAGTATACAATCGTTTGATGAATTTAGATGTTATGCACCATAATACTACCGTAAAGCGCTCTTTAAAGTACCCCCTGTTTAAAGTACCTTCCCAGCTTTTTGGCAGATTATGTATGTACAATATCTGGGTACTTTACATTTTTATGTATTGATTGATAAAAATTCAGAATTTGATTGTCGATCTCCTCCGACCATAGTACCCCCATGTAATGTACCCCCTAATTTTAAGTGAATGTAAAATAACCGGGTACTTTAAAGAGCGCTTTACGGTACTTTTTTTTAAGGTCTTGTGTCAATATCTACGGTTAATGGTAATTTATGCCGTTGGGTTATTTAATTTTAATCACACGGTTTTTTCAACAATGCCTTTTCTGATTTTAACAATAATGATCAAATCGTAATTGCCGTAAACCCTTAAAACAACTAATTCTATAACTAGCGTAGTGGGTTAAGTTAATTTTACAAGAGCGATTTGTACACAATAGGGTAATTATAGAATTAGAATTTTGAAACACTTTATTTGATCTTTAAGCATTAGTCTTTATATATTTTTGAGCTCATATTACAAGAAAAATTATTAAGCAATTTGCTACACAAATTATAGGATAAATTACAGCAGAAATTACATATAGTGTAAATTATTACATAGAATTACAACATTTTTTCATAATAAATTTGCACCATCCGGGAACACCATATGATATCGTAGGTCGTACTCCATCATAGATGTTGCATACAAGGTGTGTATCATGACTTCGTTCACTAAATGGTCATTCACCTGTAGCAACCTCACAAAATTATAAATATCTGCAACTTTAGGGTATTGCTTATCTCTGGACCCATATATGGAAGTACAGTCAAACCTTGATATAACGAACCTCTTGAGCTGGAAATTTTTTCGTTATATCGAGTTTCCTTATGAAACTTCTTTTAAAACAAAAAAAGTCTTTTTTCTTTCGTTATCGTTATATCAAGGATTTCGTTATATCAGGTTTCGTTATACATGTACATGCATCGAGATTTGACTGTACTCCGCAAATGTTTTGATCAAATTTTTCTATATTTGCCGGTTTGGTAGGTCCAAAATCAGCAATTTGAGCACTAGTATGCATATATTTCCGGGGTGAACGTCACGATGCACAAATTCCTCATTATGCATTGAATTCTTACAGTAATCCAGCTGGATTTTTAGTTATTCCAACCAGGCAGGTTGTTTTATAAATTGACCAAAACCTTCCGAGAGATATTCAACATTGGTAAATCTTTCGAAAGGGATTCATTCAAGTTATTAGACAGTCGTATCATTATTTTCGCTAGACTATTCAACTTTATAAATTCGTTGGTGATATAGTAAACATCCATCGCAGCCTTTATTATTTTGACAAGGAGTACACTTACTGCAATTGTGAGTATTGTGATCTGAACATTCATCGCAGCACTTATAATATTGACATTTGATTTGTGTAAATGGTTTTTGGAGTACATGTATTGCCTGTGCCGATATCGTCTTTCACGTTGGATTTTGGTAGATTTATTAAAGTCTAACTAGGTTTTCTGTTAACTATAACGCGTCTTTATCAAGATCGATTACCGTCGTCGGTCTTCTTTAAAATGCCTTTTCTGGATCAAGGTCCTAACAGTCAGTCAATTATCACGAGGGGATTTTACAAGTCTCATTTTATTTGGAGAATAATTGTACGCAACAATTCTATTCTTTTTATTGAGACCCGTAGGCCTTTCTTATATATTTTATTGGAGTTTACATAGTAGTATCGCTTTTCTATATAACTATGGTCAAAGATTAAACAAAAAAACCGAATAAAGAAAATACGATTTGGAGAAAACACGGGATATTGTTAAAAACCTTATCGAAGAGAGAATGCAGGATAAAAATAAAAGAATTGTTTAAGAGAGAATGCAAGAGAATACAAGATAAAAATAAACAAGGGCGATAAAACATTTGGACCTATAATGCGGTCCAAACCGATCAGAAGATTCTAATAATAATCGGCCAAATTAGGAAATAGCGATAGTCATTGTCATTATACATGTGTCAGACGTAATCAAAGTTTTGTACGAACATGTATTTCGGATGATGACAATGGCTATGTATGTACGTACATGTAGTAGCCATACAAAAATATAATGAACTCTACAAGAAAAATACGTCTGTAAATTTCAATAATGTCACTTTTTATAGACATATCGATATACATGTTCATGTACGTACGTACATTTAACGTTGATACATTTACGTATACGTATGTGCAAATGTATGAAATGTAGGACAGCAGATTCTATTAAATTTATATTTTTACAATAGGATCTGCACGTCGGTTCGGTATATCGAAAGTTGACTACGTACGTACATGTACATGTATATTCCCATACATTTTTACAGAAATATTATGTGAGAATTTTCTTACGGGAAAATTCTTTCTTTTTTTTTTTTAGTAAAAATGCAATTCTTAAATCAAAGTCACAAAATTGTAACATTATGCCTCGCTTTAAAAATTTGGCATTTACATGTATTTGCATATTATACACCAAGTCAAAGCTTAATCTCCCACTCTGCTTTCTTACTTGGAGAGAAAATTTACTTTTTTGGTGGTCAAGTTTTGAATGGCAGTCTTTTTTATTTGGATTTGACTGTGGATTGGAATAATAAAGATCCAGCATTCGCTAAAGCTGATGGTTTGATGGATTTATCAACACTACGAAATGCGACTACAAACTTAGTAGTGAAAGATAATAAACCGTTCGTTTATATATATGGTGGAATATTCTATGTTAGGATTCAATTCTTCGATTCTTATCAAATTTATTGGCAATGTTTTACTGATTTTAAATATTTAATGTATACTTTCCTTTGAATAGACAACCGATACAACAGATACTATCAATAGTGAAATGTTCCAAGTTGATTTAAGCAATACGCCATATACATATTCTAAGATTAAACCGCATGGACAATTACCTCCTGTTCCTCGTTCGTATATTTCCTCTGTGGTTGATAGCCTTGGAAAAATTTATTTATGGGGTGGAGACAGTGCAGACACATATTCGAATCCAAGCACACATGATAACACAATGTATATATTCGATACAAACTCATCAACATGGAGTTACAATAAGCCATCAAATGCACCGGATGCTAGAGATGGGTACACTGCAACGTTATTACCAAATGGAAAAATCGTTTATATTGGTGGAATATATACAAATCATGGTGGCGATGCTAATATTAATGAGGTATTTAATTTAAGTAGTTGACGAAATAAAATAATTATTAAACTAAAATATTATATTGATTAAATAATGACAGATTTTGATTTATGATACATATAATACTCGATCACCTTGGAGTTTGATGGTTGGTTTGTTTTGTTAACATATGCTTATAAATTGTGCATATCGATATATATTTTTTATTAAAGAATTACTTCATTGCTAGACTGCAAGAAATCATACGGAGCTAGCAAATAGATATGGTCACTCTGCTGTTTTAGGTTGGTATTCCTAACAAAATCATTACTTATCTTATAATAGAAAACTAAAAATAATAAATTTATATAACAAGCGCCAAATGGTTATAGTATTATTATATATGGAGGAGACACCTCACCTTCAGTGCTAACATCGGATTTGGGCTTATTGGTTTTGGATACTCGAGATTACTCGTGGGATCAGCCTTATTCACAAAATGCACCCGACAAATACAGCACACGGAGATATCATACTGCTACTGTTCATCAGAATTATATGATTGTTGCTTTTGGTAAACGATTATTTGATTCATATCATCTCAATTTACGATAAAAATTAATTTGTTAATTAAAAATCAAAATAGGTGTACTAAGATACTCGGGCAGTTCTTTGTATCCAGTACAAATTCTTGATCTTTCCGACGGAAACTATAAATGGACTGAAAATTTTGTTGCCTCGTCATCGCCATCGTCAAAGAAGAAAATCATTATTATTGGAATTATTGTGTCAATAATCATCGTTATGGTGCTCGGAGTATCAGAATTTTTAATTAAGAAGCGCCGAAGAAAGAAAGTCCTTGTGATGGCAAATCAACGAAATGTTCTGCCAACATTAAGCTATCCCGCTCCTCCATCTTCTAATAACAACAATACCACTAATAATCAAACACCAGTATTTAATGTCCCACCAGACCAATCGAATTTATCAGAAGTCATATTTAGCATATCCGCCAATTTCGTTTTCTGGATCATTTTTTACTTAGTGTGCAAGCATATCAAGTCACTTTAACGCTGGGAAGTGTCTTTATCAGGTGATTATGACGCTTCCCCTGACATATAAAATATTAGGGATATATTATTTATATTATAACCTGATATTCGCACTGACCTCCCCCCCCCCCCCAAAAATCGAGTGATAAAATACACTTCCCAATACATGTATAATAACGATAATCGGCAAACCCCGTAAAATTCTTTCCCTGCCAGAGAAACAATTTCACTATACACTGGCCTGCCAAAAGTATTAGGCCGAGATCAGGCAATCGGAAAAATTCACAAACTTTAAACGTATTTTTTTTTAGTTTTGCAATCAATGCAATATCCATAAATGTACGTACTATGTATTATACTCTCTCTAAAGGCACTCTATAACTCTTAATGCATGCCCGATTTGTCATATGTTCCCGGCGAATTGCATTTAGGGCGAATTTATTGTATTTATCAATTAATTATTTGGGTAATTTAAGCGCAAATATTGTGCATGTACCTATTTTCACAATAAACCATCCGAATTTCTTATTTATTTATCAGACTTATAGGTCTTGAGCATGAAAAAATTGTTAGTCTATGGAAAGGCACCAAAACGATAAAAGAATCAGTAAAATATAAGTCCATTCTAAATCTACAATTGGTAATATCGATCTAATAAAAAATATAAAGTTCAAGGTTAAAAGACAATTAACAAAAGCAGTCAAAAAAAGCATTTTAAAAAAAAACTATACAATTAATAGAGCAGGGTTGACTTATTAAATAGCAATAATAAAAATTATATTTTTAAAAACATGTTCTAGTAGGCAATTATAACTGTATTTCGAGTTAAAACACAACAGCCAAAGCGACTTTTATTTCTTTATCCTCATCACAATATTCAATTACATACTTAAATACTGAACGATAATAATTTCGTATGAAAAATGACATACCGATACGTATTACACTTACAACAATAAAAGTCATAAATGGTCACATTTTTCATGCATAGAATCGATGTTAATCTTTTTTAACACACAATGGATGCCTCTTCTTATTTACGAATATTGTCATAGTGTGCATAAACCGATTTGCAGCAATGGATACGTAATGACTTCTAAACATGTAAATAAAATTTAATAAACATGATTGTAGTAAATGTGTTCGTTGTCTAAACAATTGCTACTGTTGTGAATGTTCAGTTGTGATTGTAGTCTATGTTTTTATTGCAAAATACTCCAAGTATTGCGATGAATATTCATATTACTATGGTGTATCAAACGTTTGTATTTTATTAAATGTATAAATATGCTCAGAAAGGGCCTATTCTATATTATTTACGGATTAAATTTTGCATTTACTTCTTAGTAAAGAAGTTTATACATTTATAAAATACAAACGTTTGATGACTTTAGATGTTATGCACCATATACATGTACTCACAATTGTAGGAAATGCACCGATTGTCAAAAAAATAAGCACTACGTATTTTGGATGTTTTTGATATCAAGAACAAATGTATAAGGTTGATTGGTTTAGCGAAAATAACAGTCTAATAAAAGAATGCATAATATTGATAAAAAAGTTTTCGAATTGTTCCCTTTTGAAAATTTACCGATTTGAGTATCTTGCAAAAGGGGTTTTGGATCAATTCATAAAGCATCTTTTGCACAGCTACGGTGGGATCATGAAGGGAGGGAATTAAGTGATGGGGAGAACGAAAGATGTGTTGAAATTATTATACAATTCAAAGCAAGTTACATACGAGTTTATAGTGTAAGCATATTGCTTTTTGTTTTTAATATAACTTTCAAAATTAGATTCAGCCTGCTCTAATAGTGATGACAATATTAAATTAGGAATTGGGAACCGTGTCTAAAAACTTCACCCGGATATTTGTGTTCTTTTGAAATCGGGTATCCGGGTAGATTCGGGTTAAATTTTTCTAACCCGGCCTGGATTGCACAAATCTGGATGAAATATAATGTCAGCGAATGAATACGTACTATTAAAATTAGCACAGTAAATCATATACATGTATATGATCGAAATGTGATTTAATAGCAATCAAACATATAAATTTACAGTGGATCATCAAAAGTCTGGCCAAAATTATTTATAGTGTGCCCAATCGAATAGCCATGGTTATTGCTTGCAAATTGATAACATACAAAGAATAATATTAGTAAAACTTAGAAGCTAATATTTAAACTTTATTTTTATTTATTATTTGTTTATAATTCTGTTTTTTAGTTATCAAATTTAATGGTTTGTAAGTGGCCGGATCTTTAGGATGACCCACTGTATTTTGGCATTATTCTAGTAATGCTGTTGAAATGGTTTGATTATCCAAAAATTGTTTACAGAACTTTGGTATTCTTTCGCTATCTTTCCTCTTGTTCACATTGTTTAATCCCAATTATTCTTATTGGGATTCTAACTCTGAACTAAATATATTCAAGAATTAATCTTCCCTTTATATGTATTTAACTCAAATTCTATTGAGTAATTATCTAGATCAATTAATCTTTTTTTCAAAGTTGAATATGATGAGCTTACAACTCCTAAGTCATCATCATACACAAGAATTTTGGAGTCCTTGAAAGACCTGTCATAAGGTAAAAAAAATACAATTCATCTGTCACCAAAATCTATGAGACTGTATTTGCAAGTATATCATATCTGATTTTAAGTAGCAAAGACAATATTTATTATTTAATTTGTTATTTAAATACAAACAGTGAGATCACTAACATTTTATACAATTTATTACAAGATTCACATTTGCTTCAGACTGATCACTGGGTGAAAATGAGATATTTTTGTTGATACTTTGTGTTTTTTTTTGTATTTTAAATGGTATTTTTGCTGTTATATTCGTTCTATAAAGATCTTAAAATGATTTGTATTGTCCATTATCTTCTAATATTGGATCAGACAAATAATAAAACTTTTTGCTAGACTATAAATAAAACAAATTTCACAATTTGATAATATACATTACAATTAAAAATTTATAGTGCCATACTTGATAGTAATAATTTAAAAAGATCTGAAAAAATATTAGAATTTTAAAAAATAACAAATAATTACTTGAAATTTTGCACATATTTTGTTTTTTACTTTTTTTACTATAAGAAATCTCACTTTCATATCAAGTTTTAATAACTTAAACTTGAATTGACTATTAAATTATAATTTGTCATTTTTAAAAATCACGTAATTTTATATATAGTATCAAAAAATCAACTTTTTAAAATAAATTATAGAATTTATATTTGAAATCCAAAAATGAAACAAATCACGTAATTTCAGTTTTTAAGTATCAAGTACTATAGTATATCTAAAATATATAGCAATCATCTAGTTCAATCAACAAAAGTATTAGCTAATTAGTTAGAATAATAATAATAATTATTTTTGTTAACTTTTTTGTATATAATTTAAAATAAATACACAAATTCTTATCAATAATAACTGTAATTAAAAATTCAAGAAAATAAAGAAAGTATTATTTAATATGCTGAAGATATTTATATTCTATTATAAAAGATTGATCCAAATAATATAATAATATAATAATATTTATAAGTATTTGAATATCTCTAACTTTTTATAAATTATACGTATTATCCTAAAAATTTTTAAAAATAAAAAATAATATAAATATTGTTCATTTATGTCTTTTAAAATTGATATAATTTCTACATCAAAAATAAACTTTTATGTTCTAAATATAATAAAAAAATTACTTTAGAACATAAAATCTAGATATTTAATGATCAGATTTGAGTGAAAATATTATTATTGACTCATTTAGTCGAGATAAATTGAATAGTACATGTAATATTTGTATTTAAATTTAATAACTAAATATCAAGATATTACATTCTAAAGAGACTGTTTTATTTTTTAATAATCAATTTTAAATGAAAAATAATCATCAAAAAAATGAAATAATCCCTTTAGAATATAATATCTTGATATCCAGTAATCGAATTCAAATACAAATACTACTATTTAATTCATCTCAACTAAATGAATTAAATAATATATTTTCACTCAAATCTGATTATTAAATATCTAGATTTTATGTTCTAAAATAATCATTTTATTTTTGTTAACATTAAAAAAATGAATTTGATATAATATCTTGATATTTAGTAATCAGATTCAAACAAAATACTACTATTTGATTCATCTTGACTAAATAAATTAAATGATATTATTTTTATTCGAATTCAATCACTGGATATTAATAATTAGATTATTAGATATTAAGATATATATTTTGAAATTTGTAATATAAATATAAAATATCTAATACAGAAGTTCTATCAACTTTAAAAAGAGTAAATAATCAATATTTATATTATTCTTTGTTTTCAGAATTTTTTAGAATGATATATATGATCTATAAAAAATTAGAGATATTCAAATACTTATGATCACTACTATACTTACTCTATTACTTACAAAATTAAATAATTTGTTAAAGAATTAAAAGCAAAAATAGTATTTTTTGTCAACAAAATCAATTTAATAATCTTGAATATTATTATAAATAAAGTAATAAGTATAAAAATTATCTATTAACAAATTTATCAAATTTATTAAATTAAAGTTTAATAACTATCTCACTTTTATCACAAAATCTTGATATTAATATATTAATAATTATTATAACAAATATTAATAAAACTATAAAAAATTAATAGTACAAATTATTAAAAACACTAATTGAAATTATAATAATTATATCAATTATTATTATAATTAATAATCATCAAATCAAAGAGTTTGTTATATATATAAAAGAACAAATTATTTTATAAAAATTATAAATCACAATAGATTAAATCAAGAACAAAATTATCAAGTTCAATATTATAGTTATAAAAAATATAAATATAATATAAGTAATTATTTATCATATAAAAGAAATATCTTTAATAATAATTAATAATATTAGAATAATTATAATAATCAACTTGTTAATTATAAACAAATTTCAGTCACTTTTAGTATATTAATGAATAA